GCCCGCTGGAGACTCCGTGGACCATTCATTGCCAGACGGGTTCCCCTGAACTCGTCCAGGGGAAAAAACTCTGCTGAGTCCTTTCTTGGTTGCGTCATTCTGTCAGGGGATGCGAGTGGGGGTGGAAGGCAGGACTCAAAATGCAGACTTGCAGGAACAAAAGGACTTTAATAGTCAAAGGTCAAAAACACAGGAAACGGGAGGAAAAACAGCAGGCACCAGGTGTGACGAAAGACAATGACGCGACAAGTGACACAAGAGACACACGGCTTAAATACACAAGGGAGGTGCAGGTGATTGGACACAGGTGGAAACTATTAGACAATCACAGGGGATGACGGGACAAGGCAGGAAGTGAAGTTACCCGGGGACACGAGTGGCAGAAAACTACAAAATACAACAGGAAGTGAACCACACCGTGACAAAAAACCAATTGACCAACACATGTATTAAGTTGTATGCAAGGACTTCTTATTTTTCTATTGAACAGGATACAAGCTATTTTAACCTTAAGATATTTCGGAATAAGTTACAGCAGCTGAATGTCACCACACACATCGTTCTCCTTCAGCTTGATGCTGCTTCCTCCTGGTCCATAACACAACTAAATGTAAAGTTTATAATCACACAACAAAACAAAAGGAGCAAAGCGAGTTAAGTTTCCTTGTGTATTTATTCTGTAACGTTCTACCTTAGAAAATGATATTTCAGCTTCAACTACTTGAGCTCACTTTGATCCATAACATAATAATAGTTATATTACATAATATAAAGTATAAACTACATATAAAACCGTCTCAGCCTCAGTTGGATGTTTGTCAGCCTCTAAAGTGTGAAAGTTGAGTCATTAAAGTGACTTTTGAGGAGCTGCCGTTAATGGCGCAGCGGCTCCAGGGAACGTGAGCTGCTCGTTTTGTCTTTGTTATAATTGTGTGTTGGTACATTGATGTCTATAAAAACAGTACATGGACTCAGGGGGGATTCAGGTGAGAGTCTGGCTCAGGGGCTGTATGAGGGGACTTAGCGTTATCACTAAGAGCAGTTTATTCTAAAGTCTTATGTGAATTTGAAAAAACACGACATCGGTTAAACTACGATGTCATGTCATATTTTATATTATAACATTTCTATCGGTAGATATTCAAGTGAATTCTATAATTTAACGTTACATTTAAAGTAAACTCTCCCCGCTGTTGGATTTTTTGCTCATTTCCGTTAGACAAGCGCCTTAAAATGTGTTAAGATGAAAAAGCAGTGAAATGAAAAACGTAAAAATTATTTATTCCCTTTGTGCGGCCCTCTACCAAATTGGCTAATTGCAATCTTAGGTTTGCTGCCCCTTTAGCTGTCTCGTTGTTGTTCTTTGCCATCAGGCACAGGTGGGAGTGATGTTTCGATGCAGACACACAAAAGATTTTCCAGCGATGATTGTGGTTGAGGTTTGTAATTTATTGCAGGCAATTGTATAAACAGATGAACATACCGGTTGAACGTGCTCCTATTGATGGTGGTCTGTCTTCGTGGTCTGGTGAGAACTGTCTGGTGCTCCCCTACCTCTCCCTCGCTTCCTGTCACCTACGTCCCTTATGTACACCCATGTGCACCTAATCACCACCACCTAGTGTCCAAAGTGTCAATATAAATACAGTCTAACAAACAAAATATACTTTGCCAACAACAACACATAATGGCCCCTACAGAATGTCTGCTTTGGTTTTGCTTGCAGCTAGATGGCGGAATACACAGTTTAACTATCCTGAGCCTCCACCCCCATTTTCACTACTGTGTAACACAGTATATCCATCAGATGGTTGTCTCATCCTCCCTCAGATTGCATCCTTGACAGTCAAGGAAGCCGAGACCAAAAAATGAAGCAAAACCATACTATGTCAAAGATGTCCCACTTCATGATCTATAACAAGATAAACGGAGACAATGTTTAGGTATCTGAAGCACAATGACAGAGGTGACGAAGGTTGATTATTAATGGTCTAGTTCAGCAGAGGGCGCTATGGCAATAAGATCAAGCCCCGCCTCTGTCTCCTATCACGTCCTCCGACTGGGTTTAAAAATCTGTGAACTAAGCCTACTTGCCCATCTTGTTTCAAACTTATCTGACAACATGAGCGGAAGAGGAAAGGGAGGAAAGGGACTCGGCAAAGGAGGCGCCAAGCGTCACCGTAAAGTCCTCCGTGATAACATCCAGGGAATCACCAAGCCCGCTATCCGCCGTCTGGCTCGCCGCGGCGGAGTGAAGCGCATCTCCGGTCTGATCTATGAGGAGACCCGCGGTGTGTTGAAGGTCTTCCTGGAGAACGTCATCCGCGATGCCGTCACCTACACCGAGCACGCCAAGAGGAAGACTGTGACCGCCATGGATGTGGTCTATGCCCTGAAGAGACAGGGACGCACCCTGTACGGCTTCGGAGGATAAACCCCGACTTCTGTTACCAACACACAAACGGTCCTTTTAAGGGCCACGCACTTTCTTTGAGGAGCTGATTACTGTAATGATGAAAATGGGACATATTAATGCAGATTCCAATGCATAGTTCTGTTTGAATAATGCGCAGACCAACAATGTATTGATATGGTCACATTTTTAATACCTTTCATTTCTCAAAATAAAACTTTGCAGATTGCAGAAAGACATGGTTCAACCATAAACTGGGTTGACGTGGCACAGGGGTAGAGGGTGTGCCGCGAACGGCAAGGTTGGGGGTTCAAGACTTGCTGCTCTATGTCCCATATTGTATATAAGTAAGTAACTTAATGCTGTGTAAAATTATAGTTTCTATATACAGACAGCCAACTCTTTCTGACTCCCAATATTACAACACGATCCTGTAGATACACTCAGGATCAACATCAACATCAGGAGAATATGTCCTCTTCTCACCCAGAAGGCAGCGCAGGTACTGATTCAGGCTCTTGTCACCTCACGCCTGGACTACTGCAACTTCTCCTGGCAGGTCTCCCTGCCACCGCCATTCAACCTCTGCAGCTCCAGAATCCAGAATGCAGCAGCTCGACTGGTCTTTAACCCTCCGAAATTCTACCACACTACTCCACTTCTCCGCTCTCTTTACTGGCTACCGGTGGCTGCCCGCATCCACTTCAAAACCGTGCTGTGAATGGATCAGTTCCAGTCTACATCCAGTACATGGTCAAACCCTACATCCCAACCTCCGCTCTGCATCTGCCAAACTACTTGTCCCTCCCTCACTCAGTGTTTTTACATGATGGTATAAGTCGATTTCAGTCCGACTAAGCCAGTTATTCGAATCCATGTAACCACGCTGACTGAGGCCAAAACACTCAACAAGATCACCACTCTTGCTCTTCCTAGCTCCAAAATGGTGGAAAGGCTCATTTAAGAGCCACCCACTCCCCCTATGTAATTTATACTTAAGGAAAACGTATTAGACGCCACTCAAAGAGAACTGAAAGTGCTAGTCGTGGTTCTGAAACCAACCACAAGCTTTTATAAGCAATTACCACCTAATTCCAAATGCCTAAAACTCATTTTTGATCAAATACCGTGGTGACATGTAAATATCGACTAGATGCAAAATCCACTGTGCTGTTGCTACAGAGTGTACGCCATACAAACTCATGTTCCTCATGCTCTTATTTCATGTAATAGAAAAATAACAAGTCCTTGCTAATACATGTGTTTGCTGTTGTGTTTTTTATTGACAGTGTTGAGTCTATGAATAGACGTTGAAACAACTTTCACTTTTGTACCAATTTGCAACTTCTTTTCAACGTCTGGCCATAGACGTCATTTCAACGGATAAATTGCCTGCTGGAATCTTACAAGTTACATACTTAGTCACAGTTGTCATGTTAACAGCCCTTAACAAGGACAACACATTGTTTTATTAATTTGTATTTATTATAAATATAACACAAAAATAAAATATATTTCAGGGAAATAAACTAAGGCATTGAAAGTGCAGAAAAAACATGGACAGGTTAGTTTAGAATTCAGTGTTTGTAGCCCATTTTCTGAATCATTGGAACTTCATTTTCAGATTCTGTAACAAGACTTGGCTGTGAGTTACTTGTTTTGGGATAGTATACCTGAAATCAGTTGCATCTCCCTCATTCACATGCACAGAACACCCCTCAATTTCAGATTCCTCTAGTCAACATGTTTATTCAATTCAAATCATTTTATTTTTGTTCAGCTTTGCAATCTGTAAACATGCAACATCCTGTCCCAAAACCCCCAAAATGTAAAAAACCTTCACCCGGGAGAAACCTGAGGGGAAAACAGCAGAAAAGTAGGTGTGCAGAGTATGAACAACTTAAAGATGTACAGTGAATCCAATTCCTACGACAGAAATTATTCTAATATTGAGAGTAGTAAGCCAGGGGTAAGGCAGGACCACTGCAGGCACAACCGTCATCAGATGTAACCTCCATCAGATGCAACCACCACCCACAGAAACCTGTGAGCACAAAGCACAAAGACTTCAAGGAAAGGGCAAAGTTGATCTTTTGGGTTTATGAGCAGCAGCAGGTGTGTTAGAACCCTAATTTATAGACTGTTTACTTATTAGATTCTAAACAAGATAACAATTCATCTGCAACTTATGGCATTTTTGGAGTAACATTTCCAGGTATATCACACAGTATTGTGCTATAAGCACACAGTAACTTACAATGTTTTGGCCCTCGTTTACAGACCACAACTTGTTGAATTCAGCTCCCTTGCAATCTGTATTTAGCCCCCATTGCTTAAAAAACGCATTTTCAATATGAAATGGGAAAGACAATAAAATGTATAGGTATAGTTGCAACCTAACACATTACCAACACCAAACACACGAAAAATATTCTGGGATGTTTACTTTTGGTCCAGGTCATCATGCTGCACGCTAGCATGCTAACTAGCAAACTACCTGCGCTAACGCCAACTAGCTTAACAAAAAGGACAGTCTTTCCCGTATCGAGTGGGCAGCACATGTAAAACAACTGGTTATAGTTCCAGGTGTGCTTCAAACACTCACGTACTTAGAGCATTGGAGCCGGTAGTCGTGGTTCTATCAGCCCGTTCATGTCGCTCTGCTGCCGTAACTTTGCCTCGTGCTGCACCCGGTCGAAGCTCTGCAGGCGTCGAACACTGAGTCCGTAGTTTAATATTTATGACGTTTTAAGTGAAATATTAAATAGGTTAAATACAAGTCTTCGTGTAGACCAAATTTCGCCGACCAGTTCATTATATAATGAAAATCTAACGTAGTCTCTTTCAACCTTACGTTACAACATGACACATTTATCAACAAATTGACGTTTTCTGGCCAGTTGATTTTTCATCCAATAGAGAATTGAAGAGTTGAAAAGCTGTTGAAATGAGGTCTTGACGTTCAGACCTCGTTTCAACCTTATTTTAACCATATTTCAACGTTAAAATAAAGTCCAGTGCTCACTGGGCAATGCTTCAAACTGAAAAGCCAAATGTTTCCGCTTTTGTTAAGTTTAAATTAAACCGCAGATGTTGGTGGAAGTCAGAATTACGCCATAACGCTGAATAAAGGTAAATACATAGAAAACATGTATTCCTATGTAAATCAATAAGATACATAGAGATATAAGACAGTTTTGAAACACAATCATCAGGAAATGGTCTTTAGAAGAAGTGGGTGGCTCTTAAAAGAGCCTTTGTGTTGGCGGTCTACATCAGGCTCACTTGGAGCTGGTGTACTTGGTCACGGCCTTGGTTCCCTCAGACACAGCGTGCTTGGCCAGCTCGCCGGGCAGCAGCAGGCGCACAGCGGTCTGGATCTCCCTGGAGGTGATGGTGGAGCGCTTGTTGTAGTGAGCCAGGCGAGAGGCCTCACCGGCGATGCGCTCAAAGATGTCGCTCACGAACGAGTTCATGATGCCCATGGCCTTGGAGGAGATGCCGGTGTCGGGGTGGACCTGCTTCATCACCTTGTACACATAGATGGCGTAGCTCTCCTTCCTGGTCTTCCTCTTCTTCTTGCCGCTCTTGCTGACGGCCTTGGAGACGGCTTTCTTGGAGCCCTTCTTGGGCGCTTTCACAACCTCAGGCATGATTGGAAACTTCTCTGTAAACTGAGAATGCCTCAATTTAGACAGCACGGTGTTCATATATGAACTAGATGCAAAGTACACTGTGCTGTTGCTCGAGCGTGATTGGTTGCCTTCTGTGTGATACTGCGCATGCGTCACAAACATCGCATCTATGCGGATTTCCCTGTTGAGATTGAATCACTTTAGTGCTCTTGATATAACACAAGATTGTTTATATTTTTCGTTTCACAACAGAGTTGCATGTTGAGAATCATGTTGTATAAATCATCGCATGCACTGAAATCATCTAATGACCGTCAAACAAACCATTCACAATCACAGGGCAACCTGTTGATAATTACATACACACACACAATTCCTGACGTGTAGGGACGTGACACACACCTTTCTTTCATTCAGAATAGAGACAAATACATGTAATACAAATACATCTAAAGGAATATTATATATTTAATATTTGTATTGAAAAGGAGATGTGGCGCTTTAAAATGTCAAATCCTTATTTTGCAATCTGTAATCTTGCCTGTAAGTGCTCCAGTTACCTTTTTCTAAAAGTGAATCCGTCTACATCCTCCAAGTGTCGGATTTAAAACTGTTTTATGCTTCAGCTGCATTGGTGTCCCTTCTACGTGATACATTAATAGGCTGAGATTTAATGAGAGTTGTGCAACTTTATTAGGATGACCGTAAGAAGGAGGACGACATAATAGACAAAATATTTCTTACTTGAGATGGAATTATTAGTGGATGGTTATTGTGGCACAAATGACCTAATGTGGTAATGACTAAAAAAAACTATGAACATATGAGGATCACAGCTCTTTTCATGTGAGTGGGTGGCTCTTAAAAGAGCCTTTGTGGTAGATGGAGGTCTCGGGCTTTACTTCTTGGCGGGCTTCTCGGTCTTCTTTGGCAGCAGCACCGCCTGGATGTTGGGCAGCACGCCGCCCTGAGCGATGGTCACTCCGCCCAGCAGCTTGTTGAGCTCCTCGTCGTTGCGGACAGCCAGCTGCAGGTGACGCGGGATGATGCGGGTCTTCTTGTTGTCGCGGGCGGCGTTTCCAGCCAGCTCCAGGATCTCAGCGGTCAGGTACTCCAGCACGGCCGCCAGGTAGACGGGGGCTCCTGCGCCGACACGCTGCGCATAGTTCCCTTTGCGCAGATGCCTGTGGACGCGACCGACTGGGAACTGGAGTCCAGCACGAGAGGAGCGGGTCTTTGCCTTCGCTCGGGCCTTTCCACCGGTTTTACCTCTGCCGCTCATTGTTAGACTGTTTCAGGGAAGGAAGTGTCTGTGAACGCGTCAAACCCTCCTTTATATGTCCGCGGAGCGGGCGGGACGGTTCCTGACGCGCGCACCAACCAGAGATGAGGCTCCAGGCGCGAGAGCAGAGGGCGCGAGCTCA